AACTCCCTACAATAAGATCAAATACTTTAAAGAACTCGATTTGTTACAAAGGAGTGACATTTTATAATAATCTTCCAAACGAATTAAAAACCCATCCTGTATTAACCTTTAAAAAAAATTAAAACAATATATTTTACTATAAGATCACCTCTATATTTACCCAATTATTATTATTATTATGATTGTATAAAATATGTTTTCACTTGACTAAAATATTTTTATTTTATGTTATTTTATTTTTATTGTATATTTGTTAAGTAATTTTTTATTTTAAATTATATTTTGACGTGTCTCTGTTTTGAGACGTATATGTATACATTTTTCTATAGCATAATATTTGTGAAGAGGCAAAACCTCTATGGAATTTTGTATTCTTTTGGTTTTTTAAATAAATATTTCATTCAAGTTGGGTAAGTTTTCGTTAAACATTTTAATTACGGATTTGTTGTTGCAAGAAGCAAACACAAAAATGATATCAAAATATGACTTCTTAATCCTTGCATGGTCAATAGTTTTTTCACAATATTTTATTAGCAAAGGATATGGACAGAAGCATTAGGTAATTATGCATAAATATTTAAGTTTGATCTGACAGCCTCTCCCATGTCTCTAACAGTAAATGGGTATCTCGGCACCTCTACAAATAAGGGTTTATTGGGAAATATTTTAGAGCAATATGACCCACAAAGACTTACCTGCACCTAGATGATCTTGCAAAACTTCTCACATTTTTGATGGGATAGCAATAGCTCAAGGTTTGGGAAAGTCCAAAAGTTGCATATCATTTAAAGAATATGCTAATATATTTGTAAAGATTATTTTTAAAAATAAATTTAATGCTCAAAGGATAGATGTGGTATTTAATTATTATAAAGAAAATTCTATCAAAAATACAACACGTCAAAAGAGATGATCCCAGAAATCAATCGATATAGAAATTGACAGACCCAATATTCCACTTCCAGAATAATGAAACTTGTTCATTCATTCGATATTGAATAAAAGACGTTTAACACATTTTCTGTCAGAGCAACTTCTTGAAAATTTGTATCTAGTGATGGATTCACGAGTATCAATAAATATGGGATGAATTTTGAACCATCAAAAAACGATTTCTTAAATCATGAAGAAGCTGATACTCGTATCTTATTGCACATATTATCAGCCAGAAATTCGGGGAATTCACGCTGCATTATTGATTGCAACGATACAGATGTTCTAGTTTTATTAATTTATTTCAAGTAGTTTTGAACTAAAAAGATATGGTTCATATTAGGGCGAGGAGACTCGTGACGATTTATAGCAGTACATGATTTAAATTTGAATAAAAAACTTCTAAAAAATTTGCCTTCTTTTCATTCTGTGACAGGTCGTAATAAAACCAACCAATTGTCTGGCATTGGAAAAAGAACCTGTTGGAAAACCTACCTTGAACACCATCACCTTTTGGATGGATTTGGCACTGATTCGTAGGTACTCTGAAAACACATTATCTAATCTTGAAAAATTTTTCGTAAAACTGTATTCAAAAACTGCCAATGTTACTTCCATTAACATTTTGAGGGGATTAATGGCCTCTTTAAAATAATTGCTAAATTGCCATTGACTGAAGACGCCCTAAGATTACATTGTTTAAGATGTTTTTACCAGCTAAGTATTTGGCTAAGCTCTTTAAAGAGCCAGATGCAGCTTCCTAATGTTGAAGAGTATGAATGGAAAGTAGATCAAGATGGAAGCCTGATACCCACTCTTAAGATTATGATCGACCTGCCACCAGAAATAACAGAACTTATCATGCAAATGCAAAAAAGGTACTATACACCGATAATTTTCATACATGTACAATATTTTAACAATATTATTCTATTCTAGACTATGGAAGCAAAATTTGCAAATGCAGAAAAAAATATTGGCTACATCGGTTAATGTACCTGTATGGCACAGAAAAACTGCAGAAATAGTTTGATCATAACGGCTAATGTTTTGGAAAATGTAGATTAATGTGGTGAATCTGATTCTGATTAGTTTGAGTCTTGTACTTATATATTTTAATATTATTAATTTATGCTTTATATACTTCTAATTATTGAATTTTTTATCAGGAATTTATTGTATTCTGCAAAGTATATAATCTATACTTATACAGTGTGTCTGAAAAAGTTGGCAACAAATGGGAATCTTTTTTATTATTAAGTTTAGGAAAAAACGTCATTCTTCATAAAAAGTTCTGTAAGGCCTAAAACCCAATATACGATAATCAGATATCGAAATTTTCCAATCGTATACGAGGTTTGTCAAAAAGTATGAATTTTGCTCAAGAGTAAAGTACCTTTATTTTCGACAATATCTAAAATTGTTATTAAGAAAAGTTGATTAGAATTGAAAACTACGTTTAAATGTCTAATTACAGCTATCTACGATAAAAACCAGGTTTTATTATTGTTTACAATTTCTTTAAGATCGAAAATGATCAAAAACTAGATCTAAATTATTGACCTGTACAAAATCAAGTTGCTGTGGAAATGTTTTGAAACATATCTTATGTCAGTATGCTTCAAAACCTCAGATATCGATAGAAATTAAAAATTATGTTCATGTGCACTTACTGATTACACCACTCATTTTCTCATTGCAAATTTTGCTATAAATATTGACTTTGTTTTGCACGAGTTATCAATAATACAATGTAAACAAATGCATACATAATTAAAATCATTTATTTTCAAAACACAACATCAAACATTACATGCATGAAAAAGAAGAATCCGGATTAACTTTTCCCTCACTGCACGTACGCCTCAACATATCCACCGTCCCTTTCTAAGCAGGTAATTGTTCTTCGAGAGAATTCATTTATTGCATTTCTAATAACATCTGGAGTAACACCGTCACATGTTTCCCTAATTATTCTTTCCAAATGATCAATATTTTCAAACGGTCTTTTAAGGTATACCTTTTGCTTCAAGTATCCCCATAAGAAAAAGTCTAGGGGGGTCAGGTCCGGAGATCTTGGAGGCCAAGCAAAGTCCACAAATCTTCCAATTACTCTTCCGTTAAAAATGTGTAGAAGACATTCTCGAACATTTCTTGTACTATGGCAGGTTGCTCCATCATGTTGGTACCATGTACGTTGCCTTTCCATTATTGGTAGGTTATGAAGAAATTCAAGAATCTCATTATTTAAAAATTCCAGATAACGTTCAGCATTCATATTAGTTCGAAAAAAAAAAATGGTCCAATTATTCTATCTTTAAAAATTCCACACCATACATTTGTTTTAAAACAGTATTGGTCACGAGTTTGGACAGTGAAATTAGGATTAACATCACTCCACCAACGGCAATTTTGTGAGCTGACTACCCCATTAGAAGTGAACGTTGCCTCGTCCGAAAAAATTATGCACCGTGCCATATAATTATTATCTTCTAACTCCCCTTGGAACCAAGCACAAAATTCAAATCTTCTATTAAAATCTCCTGCTTTTAGGGTATGAGTGAACTGGGGTTTGTAAGGTTTAAATTTGTTTGCTTTTAATATTCCTGCAACTACGTCTTTGCGCACACCAAGTAAAGCTGCCCTTTTTCTTATGGAATCTTTAGGATTTTCTATTGCTGAGAGCATTACTTGATTTTGAATTTCTTCAGTAGCAACCCATGCCTCATGTTTCTTTTTGAATTTATTCTCAACATTTCCGGAACACTTGAACTTTTTTATTATTTTACTTACTGTTGCAAAATGTACATTTTTATCAGGATGTCTGTTATTAAAGATTATGGCAGCTTCCCTATAAGTTTTGTAGTTATCTCCAACAATTAAAACAATTTCAATTTTCTCTTCAAGACTTAATTTCAACGGCATTTTTACTAGTATTTAAAAAAGTACAATTATTACAAACTGAGGTTTTGAAGCATACTGACATAAGATATGTTTCAAAACATTTCCACAGCAACTTGATTTTGTACAGGTCAATAATTTAGATACCTAGTTTTTGATCATTTTCGATCTTAAAGAAATTGTAAACAATAATAAAACCTGGTTTTTATCGTAGATAGCTGTAATTAGACATTTAAACGTAGTTTTCAATTCTAATCAACTTTTCTTAATAACAATTTTAGATATTGTCGAAAATAAAGGTACTTTACTCTTGAGCAAAATTCATACTTTTTGACAAACCTCGTATACGATTGGAAAATTTCGATATCTGATTATCGTATATTGGGTTTTAGGCCTTGCAGAACTTTTTATGAAGAATGACGTTTTTTCCTAAACTTAATAATAAAAAAGTTTCCCATTTGTTGCCAACTTTTTCAAAAAAAATCATGAATACACCCTATTATTCGCCTTCATAGCGGATAAATCAATAATACCTATATAAAATATTGTAAGAGAGTCAAACAGATTGCATACATTTCATTCCTGAGAGAGACGCATACAGTCAAGAGACTGCTTCCTTTCCTGTAAAACCATGACATCAGTAATTGTTTATTGCTATATTTTTGTTAATTTAATAGCAAAAAATATAAGGAAAGCACTCTTACCTTGTCAATACACAGGCGAAACTTTTATTATGAAGAATATTTTTTTTTTCGTTTAGGCCTTCGTTTTTCGTCAAATGAAAGGTATATTTCTAAAAGAAGATTTTTAACCAAATTTGTCGGCAGCGAAAATAAGTTTTAATCTACACCATACTTATATTGTAAAATACATATTATTTTGTGCTATTGTGGAATATTTTTCGGTTCCTTTGTCTCAACTTCGCGCGTTAAAGTTTAGAATATGCATCCCTCGTATCTACAAGCAATTGTTAAAATTATGAATGAATGCTGATTTTGTTTAGTCTCCGAAGTAATTTTGTAGTATTTAGGCTCCACCCCTAAGTTGTAATTTTTATACCTACTAAACTACCGTTGCCCCGCAGGTCTTTTAGTTTGTAATGTAAATTTTCCTCTTAATTAAACAAAAGAATACATCAATTAATGTTTATTCGGAAATTATCTTACCTTAGCTGTTACGTCTTGCAAATCTTTCTGGTCTTTTTTCTCTTCTAATGGACAACACTTGATCATAATCTCGTGCAAAATGGCGGCCAACAAAAACTGAGCAGGAGGAGATAACGAACAGCCTTCTCGGATTAAAGTCAAAAGGGATCCCCAAGCTTCAAAAAGTTGTGTGGAGGAAGCATTGCGCATGTAACTAAACAAAAATATATGTAGGCATTAATAAACGAAATTAGCGAAGGCTACATCACTAAATGCAAAAGTTGACAAAGAACATAAAAAAGAAAAATAAACCAACTTAAAGATCCTTCTTAGAAAAAAGTTCCATTCAAACAGCTTCCGAAAGCAAAAATTAAATATTTAAAACAAATTTAAACGAAGTTGCCGAAGTTAGTTTTATGTCACTTTAGACTTCACATCACATGAGACAGGTGACATTGTTTTTTACGTTGCATATATAAATAACTAAACCAAAACTGAAAAACATGAAAATTTACGTTTATTAATGGCAAACAATAATCTTTAAAGGGTTGATACAGAGATAACAGGAGATATAGCTATTCAATGATAAAATATAATATTCGTGACGCCGACATCCATACCGGAGTCGTTACGTTCCAGTTCTAGATCATGAGTGAAGAGACATGTGGTGTGAGGTATTGGGGATACACTAAAGGATTTAACTGCGGTACAGAACAATTTTATAAATGAATATATGTGTAAGCCGTTGTACGCCGCTAATAAACAACGTACAAAATGCCAAGCCATGTTGCCACATCCAATACAAATTATTTGATATCCAACTTAACATTAACTAGGTTTTGAAATTAATTGAACATTATTACATCTAATTTAGTGAAATTACGTCTAATTTCAAAATAACCGGAATCACTACAAATTCTCTCGAAATTTCCAAAATCATCATCGAAATTACTTCGAAATCAATTTGTTGCTCAGAACCTATAAATGCAGCAGCTTGTGGATCAAAGCGCAAGGAAAGAGTCAAAAAAAAGGTCGACCAAACATCATGTAAAAAAAAGTTCCTTTGAATAATCAAGAAGACAATTTATAGGGAAATTATAGGAAGTTTTATACAATGAATTCGCCGAAATCGTATAAAACTAAGATATATTTCAGCGAAATCATACGAATTTTTGTGATTTCCGAAATACGGGTACGTTTTGGTCTTAGTAAGCATGTAAATAAACATTAGTTTCCAATCCTAAATTTTTTAACCATTATAATTTTTATTTGTTAATACAATTTTTTAAATAAATAATACAAATCGGGTGCATTTTCTTTCAAAAGCCATTACGGTGTTTATTTTTTTAAATTTTTGTTTAATACGCTATGATAACATAAACAACTCTTCGATCATTATTCTTAAGAGTACTACTACCTACATTAAACTATTTACTACTTACATCAATCCTGGTAATTTAAAAGGCAACGATATTTAGCCAGACTTATTGGAAAAAATTTAAAATTGTAAACACTGGCATAGGTGTTGCAACACCTATGCCATACCCATTTAAAGTTTTAAGGTCATATCATTATAATTTCAAAATCCTTCCAGATTTTTCATCTGGGTAATCTGTGTCTAAATTGTAAATATACATAAAAATCAAATAAGAAAAATTTTTATTACTACACATATTAAACATTCTGTATTTTTGAATCATCCCGTAAATAATAATTAGACCAGTTCAATATAAGGTTAGGGGGGTAAATGAGATCCATAATTTTAAAAGTTTGACTTTGTAATTCCATGGTTCTAACACACTATATTTGATCATGTGGTTCCAGTATTCAAATACTTGATTCTTGACTATTCACTTTGTGAAAAAAAGTCAACCACTAAAATTGCACACTTGGCGCAAAACGTGCCCCAAGTTACAGTGCAAGTGATACTTACTAATAAAAAACGAATTTGTAGCTTTGCTGAGTAAGCTGTGACAAGAGAGAATACTTCTTACAATGACAGATTTTAAATACAATTTTCAAATTTAAGATATTTATCATGAATTGTTTTTGATACCATGTTTTCTATAGTTGCACGATGAACAGTTTACTGCACACAGGACTTTTAACTTTGATGGTTCTAAGCCATTGAAATAGAATAAAGAGATACTATGATGATAATAAAAGTGTCGCACCTTTGTATTTCACTTTTACGTCATGTGTCAAACTCGAGCTAGTCAGTTTTGGTGAGAATAAATACCACTTTTTTAATATATTCATTTAAATGATATAAAAACATTTTCGAGCCGTCGATCTTCAAATATAAAATTATTGACAAGGAGACCGGAAGTGCAACAATGCTGGCCGATTTGGGCAAATTATGGTGGGTTCACAGAACTGAAATTTGGGATAATTTGAGATACCTAACCTATAATTTGATTAGTTTTTCTTCTTATTCTTCTTCTATTCCTTTTGCGGGCGATGTCCTTCGGGAAATTTCACCCATGATTTGATTTTTTATGAAAGAAAATATAAAAATGGAAACGTGAAGCATATTGTGTCTTCAGGAATGAACGTTTATTGTTTATTTCATACTCTTTTTACTTTGTTTTCCACAATAAAAACATCTCATCGTAGCTTGTTGACACAATTAAATGACAAATGTGATGACAAATGGAAATAGAGGTTAGGTTAAATAACATCCGGTCCGCCATATTATTTGCCCAAATCGGCCAATTTTTCGGAACGTTTTTTAGGGGGCTATATCCTATCCAGTAAAATAATACAGATCAGTGTGTTTAGGGATAGCCAGCCTTTCAGGTCGTCAAAGTCCTGCAGGTTAATAACATCGCCGAGAGGTATCTCTATATGCCCCATTTTTGGGAAGTGGCCATAGTGGAGCCATTTTGTCCTCCCGTTCAACAGGGCATCCCTAGTGCGGTATTTTTTCATCTCTATTTCCTATTAGTTTATTGAATAGTGTTATTTTTGGTAGAGTCTCACTTGTCCCAAGTAGGGGAAATTTGAGATAAGAAGAACCTATCTATTCCTCCCCAAATTATTTATAGAGCATAAATTGTCATTTTATGAAAAATACAGGTTTATTTTACCCTAGAGAGCCTTAAACATTTTTTAATTGCAATTACATCCTAGGATCTTCAGCTTCGAAATAAAATGTTATAATTTTCATTGTTATTGAGAATATCAACTATTTTGCAAATACAATTATCTGAATATTCTAGAGCGATATTTTTAATCAATCCGGTGCTCACTTGCCCCACCTTACCTTACTTGGTTCAAAAGTGACACAACTCAAAATTCACATCATTTGAATTAATAACACGAATGAGATTAGTTAACAAACCTCCATCAATCGTCAAAATTGTTTGTTTTAACTTATATTATAAAAGACTCGTCCAGATGGCGCCTTTGTGATTTTTGAGTTGTGTCACTTTTGAAGCAAATGTGTGATATGTGTACTTTTGACATCTGACAATAAAGTGATAGTAAAAAACTTACCAATAAAATAATTCCAAAACAGACACATCCAAACAAATGTCGGCACTCAGTCCTTCAGTGGGAGGAGGGTTTTTTATCACAGCCGTTACAGTTTGTACTAAATTATCTAATGGAATGACTCTTATAGCCAAAATTAAATAAACTAGATTGTTTTGGCTAGAATTTGGTTCAGGAAGCACCTAAAAAAATACTGACATTGTAACACACTATTATTATTATTATTATTTATTTTTCTAATAATTTGTAGCATTAAAAATTAATACTGGTTTATGCATTTAATGGAATTTCAATCAAAGTTTGGATCTCGTGCTTATGCAATATTCATTATATCTTATAAAGTGCCTCAGCATTTTCTCACTCCGGGAAAAGCATATATATTTTATCATTATTTCATCGACCATTTCTAAAAATTCGGCCTAAGTATATTTAATTATCAGTCCGCAGATTTCTTCTCTTTCTCAATCTTGAACGAACCACTCACCGTGATTCGAGTTCCAAGACCCTTTCTTTGATTATTCTGATTCGATGCCTTTAACGAAGCCAAAAGCAACGTTAGTGAGTCAAACGAAAACAAACCATTTTGTAATTGATTTTAGTATAAACATTTAGATTATTTTAATATACATTGTTCGAAGATCGTTGAAAAGTAGTTTAAAGAGATATGCAGCTAAACTATTTTTTTCTATGGATATAATACAAAATTACATTTTCTCAACTATTGTTGATTAAGAAATGAGATACATTTCTTTATTTGATAGTTCTGATAACACAAAGTAATCATTTCCATATCACATTTTTTCTGATAACATAATGAAGACAAAATTATTTTAATAAAATCATGTTTGCAGTGAAATGTCAATCATTAAATAATTATGTAGAAGAGTAGAAGAGCTGTCGTTTAATTTTATAAATTATAAAAACTAATCAGCTGCGACTCTTGTTGTAAATATCATATTCGAGAAATGAGTATCATTCTTTGATCATAAAACAATATACTATTATTGTAGTTATTGCCGTGGAATGTTTTTAGATGAATACAATCTTGAAAATGATAGAAATAAAAGTTAAATTGACACGTAACCTCTATTTTTATTTATTGTATTACAGACATCATTACTAAACGATTATTTCACTAAAATGTTATCTACCTACTTTAGGAGTATATTTTAATATCTAATATCATTTAAAAGTGTTAAGTTTATTTATTTGTTTATCGAAATTCGATCACTCAGACTTTTCAATTATATTTAAATACGATAATTAAATTTAACTTATTTATTGTCAGAATACAACCGGCGATTGCCGCCTATGGCCCACTCTCGGACTCAGCTTGTCTGGACCAAAACATTCGCAGCGCTCGTTGGTCGGTGGCGCGGCGACGTAATATAATTTGATGGCCTAATGTTCCAACCTGACCTAATTGAGCGCCCTCGCCTCAAACAAATAAAATTTAAATAAGAACAAAAAAAAAATATGAAAGATAAAACAAAGATTAAAACATATAACCACTAAAAATATATAGTATAAAATATTAAACAATCTTTAAATGTCACTGATCTTTATCTATTTCTTTGGGGTTGTTTGTCTTGATTCTCTTCTGTATCATGTGCCTTTAGGGTACTCTTTGTCTGAGAAACATGTGCATCTGTGTTGTTTTCTATCTCTTTCACTATAATCAAGTGTTTCTACTTTGTAAGTACGAGCAGGTAAATGTCTGCATATGGTCCCTTATATTTAGGTTGTAATGTTGTACTTTTTATTTTTGGACTGGAGGTGCCCTAATTACTACAATTTTTCCTAAATCATATGTGTGACAAATATATTTCTTTCTCACATTGTTTTTTATATTTTTCTGGTCCTTTCAACATATTTGTTTTACCTTTCTCATGTTTACTTTCTACCTTCTTCTCTTTCTCGTTTTTTATCAATTAATTTCATTTTATTTCTGCTCCTTCCGCCTTTAACTTTCTTTTTTAGAGTTTTCTTTGTCTTTATAATCGCTTGAAACAATTTTTGCTTTCCTGATAGGTACTTCCTTATTTCTAGCTTTTAAATCAAAATTATCTTTATTCTTGTCTAACATAGCTTATGCTCTCTAGCACTGTAAATTCTTAAAAATATGATTTTTCTCTTTCTTGGTAAATGATGCATCTTATTTTATAAAACTATGAATTATATTATGTTGCCCAACTTTAGCATTTGTTTTTAAAATGGTTTTAATATTTAAATCTCTAAATGGTACTTCATTAGCATAACCCAATACAAATTGCTCCCCAGTCTTGAGTAATGCTATATGTGACAATTCACAACTTCTACCAATGAGTCAGTTTCTTGACTATTATCAGGAACAATCAATACGTCAACTTTATCAATGCTAATTCTAATTACTACTTTACCAAAAAAGTCGTAAAGCTTGATTTGAATTTTCTTCGAAAACATAAAGTGACTGTACTTCATCAATTGTATTTTCCACCCACTAACCATATGTGGAACATTCCTGTTGTTTAGTGAGTGTATTATCTTAAGAAAGGTCGTCTTATCAAAAGCACCTTCTATGAAGTAGGAATGGAAAGATACCGCCAGGTCCTTGCGATTTAAATGGAGAGAAACTAGATATTGCCCATCTAATTTTTTCATCGTCTACAATGTGGCAGTTTGCCAATCGTAGACAGATGGACAGAAGGACAATATTGCTAACTGATTTTAAAACAAAATTCTTAAATAAATATAGAGCATGATTACATATGGCAATGAGTTTAACGGTTAAAAATCATTATGATTCTGATAGTCTTCTCAAAGATTCACTGAGTGCTCATAGAATGCTAACAACACGTTCATATGAAATAAATAATGTTTTAGAAAATAACCATTATAAAAAGCAATCTTATAATACAGGAATGGATTCTAAATAACATGATAAAAAACAAAGAAAATGTTAGAAATGCGGTCTTTATAATCATACTTCCGAAAAATGTAAGCGTAATCAATCTGTTTGTTTTGGATGTTTTACAAAATAATCCAGAAGGAGAAAATAGTTCAAATGTAGAATCATATGGTGCAAGTGTTTGTGTCAGAAAGTTCAAACTAATACTCTGAATAAGCATACATTTTATAAACAAATGTTATCGATACCGGAAGTTCGGTTTGTACAATTAAAGAGAGGATAGTTAAAAATGGATATACAACATGCTCTCAAAGCGAGCAGTAAACATAAGTGTAGAAGATGTGAATATAAGAGGCTTGGTTGCGAAGGGATGTCCACAGGGAGGGGTGTTATCACCTGTACTGTAGAACATGGTCCTCGACACCCTCATCAGCCGCCTCAATAATGAGTCACTACACAAACAGGAAATTTTGAGAACATATTCTGCGAAAGAATACAACTAGCTCTCAAACTCATAGAACAGTGGTGTAAGGACCATTCACTGTCTATCAATCCTAGAAGACTGAAATTGTCCTTTTCACAAGGAAAAGGTTTTAAAAACTCCAGAACTCCTAAACACAAAGCTAAACTTTGCAACAGAGGTGAAGTACTTAGGTCTCACCTTTGACAGCAAGTTAACATGGAACTCACACTTAGAAAACAAGAGTAAAAAAAGAATACATTGCTTATGAACAATGCCGCCGAACCGTGGGGCGCACCTAAGATTTCTCCCCCAGAGTCATCGCATGGACTTACAAGACCTATGCTATCATACGATGCAGTTACTTAAAATTGACAGCTATCCGTAAACTAGAACAAATTTATAGAACAGCATGTCTCAACATAACAGGAGTCATAAAAACAACACCGACCAGAGCCATGGAACTCATTCTTAGTCTTAGGTTGCTCTGACGACAATGACACGCCTCCGCACGGTTGGAATAGTACCTGATGTAGGATCTGGTGAGGCGCGACGTGGCTTTTGACAGGAGGCGCTCGATACGCTCCCACTGCTTCAAGCGAACATGGACTCTATCTCACCGAGATATATCTTGCATAAGCCATATAAAGTTGTAACAGAACAAATAGAAGAGCCGGAAGTGGCAGGTACGATTCATATCTACACCGACAGTTCTAAAACAAAACAAGGCTCAGGAAGTGGAATATACTCCATATCCTTAAACCTTAACATAAAATGGGATGTGAGCAATAGTGTCACTGTAGTTCAAACAGAGCTCACGAGAATTTTCATAGCAGCAAAAGAAATCACCAGAAACAATATCACTGGAAGGAACATGCTCATCTATACAGATAGCAGACAAGCACTACTCACCCTGAACAGACCACGAATTTATTCAGGGTTAGTACTAGAATGTCACGAAGCTTTGGCTGAAGTATCCATTAAGTCACCTTAAGATGGATTAAAGGTCACGCCACATCGAAAGGTAACCGTCTTGCTGATTCACTGGCCAAGAAAGCAGCCAACCAAATACTTTTTGGATCTGGCCCTTCTGTTGGCCTGACAAAATCGGTAGTGACAGACCTAATTAAAGAACATTCCCTTGTGAAATTCAAGGAAAAATGGGATGAAACAAGAAACTTCAGAGTTGCCAGGGAGCTTTTAAGTTATCCTGACAACACTGCAGCAAACAAATACTTGACTATGACTAGACAGAATCTGCGCCTAGTCACAGGCATTCTGAGTAGTCATTGCCAAGTACGGAAGCATCTCCATATCATGGGGCTGTCAGAATCCGCACTCTGCAGAGGGTGCGAACAAGAAGATGAGAGAAGCACCTCTTGTCTACGTTGTCAACTACATTAAATCTGTAGGCTGGCTCACGAGATAGGAGGTGCCTATCATCTTAGGAGGATGCACAATGTGCCGTGGGAGTAACCTCCCTTCGGGCTGCGAGCTTAGTGTACATCCACATACTCGCAACAGTTAAGCAGTGATTCTCCGGTCACGTCGTGGATGAGTGATTGCTGGGAGGTTCACCATGGGCCGTGTCACTATGGGACTCATCCGACTAACGGTTAACCACCGACGACGTGGAATTAATGACGATGAATCAGGGAGTGAATTGTTGACTGAGAAAGTAGTAGGACCTTCAAACGGTGGTATAATAAGCCGCAGGCTGCAGTGCCGCCAGGCTATAGACGGATTAGGGTATAGCACGGGAGATTTGAAGGGAGTAAAAACTAAAAAACCTCCCTTCACACGTTACAGATACAGAGAAGACCAATGTAAAGGATGTCTCAGAAATATTTTCGTATATCAATCGTCCGCTGGCGCAATAGGCACATTTGAGAAAGGAGGCAGTTGGAAAATGGTGATATAAAGTGTTAAGTTTTAGTTGCAATGGAGCGATTTACGGGACAACAACGTGTCTTTTGTTTTCGTGAGTTTTATAAAAACAATGATTCTTATGTTCTTGTGAGTCGTTTGTACAGAAATCATTATAACATAGCAAGAATGGATGATGTCCCAACTGCAAATTTAATTAAATATTAGTTAAGAAAGTTTGAGAGTACTGGATAATGTGTACGATAGTAGAAAAAATATTGCATTTAACTCGTGTGTAAAGTCCCTTTTTTGACTCATGTGATTCGTCAAAAATGAGTAACTTTACACACTTGTTGCATAAATAACTATTATTAAAAATAAACCTAATACACCAACTTGGGAATAACTTCACAGTTTTTAAAAACAAATTATAAAATCCGTATGGCAAAAACTGGTGCCTGGTCTTGTACTTCTTTAGTGTGCTAATCATGAATTTGAAAAAATAGAACTAGACAGTTACGACTAATTAGCCTTTTTCCTGGGAAGATTTAAAAAAGATCCGCTAGGGGCAGCACCGGTGGGGGGTACATATGTTTCGAATTCTCTATTGACAACAACGTTTTATTATTATTAGAATAAATAAATATTGTGATAAAAAAAAAATTAAAAAACAAATTGTCACGCCTACAAAACATTGTGAGTTTGCTAATTGTACGTCTGACAATCGTTAGAAGCAAAATGGTGTAAAATTTGTGCCTTTCACAAGTTGGCAAAAAAAGTGTTTGGAGTGGATACATTTATCACGAAGGGCAGATTTAACAGTTGAAAAAATAAAAAACATACTTTTATTTGTACAAACATTTTATTAATTCAAATGGACCAACAATAAAAACCCAAATCCATTGCCATCGACAGTTTCAAAGGTTAGTAATTGTTTATTTAAAGAGGTTATATTTTATATTAATCTACATATTATCATTATTGATAGTAAATAATGAACTTAAACTTCTTTTTAATTATGTATGAAATATAAAATTTTGTGGTTTTAATTATCAAACGATTTTTTAGATTTCCAAAGACCGTAAAAGACAGCAACGATGTATTGAATAGGACTCAAGCACTGGAAAAAATAAACGTCAAAAACTTATCTGTTCTACTGTTACTGATGTTGAATCACTAACTGGACAAATTAGTAATAAAAATGCAAATAGAAATCAAGAATCCCAATTAAATAATTATTTAGCCTCTGATCTTGCACTTTTGCAAATTTCAATTTCGCTCCAGGTACATCATCTTCAGTTAATTCCATTATAAATCTATACATTTGACGTTGTTATCAATAGATAATTCAAAACATATGTACCCCCCCCCCCCCCCCCACCGGTGCTGCCCCTAGCGGATCTTTTTTAAATCTTCCCAGGAAAAAGGCTAATTTGTTCAGCGACTTGTCTGTTGACTTAACGCAGCCTTAAACGCGCAGACTATTATTATGTCAACCGACTTTACGTCAAATATAACCTATTTAGATTGGCATGTTTGACACTTATATAATAACATTAATAAAAATAAATAAAAATGATTAATTAATCGAAGTAAGAGGCAAACAAAATCGTTGAAATGAGCTCGTTAATCATTAATTCTCTCGAAGAGGCGAAACATAAGCGAACTCCTTATGGAACAAAGATTTATTTCAGGTGAACGTATAAAGTAAGAAAAGCAAACCAGTATATTGCGATCGGGGGAGAAAGTTTCTCTGTTCGCTAATTAATCATTTTATAGGCATATATCTAACAAGATTACTAGAACAAATAAAGGAAACGATGAGTGGGCGGCGGCCCAAGTGGTGCACACAACTATTTACTATTTAATAATTAGAATTAAATTAAAATTAATGATATGATCTATAAAATATATTTTATGTATATTATAGAATGTCTAAAATAATTTTTGTGACACGTAGATGAGATACTTTCATTTTTTTTTGACAGTTCTGCAGCTCTACAGCATTTATGCACCAGCCGCTACTGACCGATAGTAATTTTTATTTATCAGAAATATTCTTGTGTGTGAGCATTAAATTTGTTTATTTCTTATAGTGGGTGATAACTATGATAGTGTTTATTATTAAAAATAAAATTTGCCCAAAAGCCTCCAGTAAATTGTATCTATATTGCTGTAATAAAGCTTATACTTTTAAATCAAAACCGAGTCGTTAATTAAGTTTATTTCATCATTTTCCAAAGAAGGGTAACCGTGAACTACTGATTAAACATAAAAAGGGCAATTATGAGAGGGTCGAAATGAGAAAACAGTGGATTTCTATTCTAATATTCCGGTGTGTTCTTGTTCTTCAAAAAAATGTCAATATTTTTTGACGGTTGGAGAAATATACAATTTAATAACGTATTTAAAGTTAGTCGTTTTTATTTTATAAAAACTAATGTTATATAAAAGATGACTTACCGTTTTAACACTAGTAAAAGGATTCCTTCTCTCATACCAAGTCACAGAAATAGCCGCCAAAAAGCTCGTACTATGATGCACAGAAATTGGACTCAAAAATTCCAATAGTTGTTGCTTAACAACTTTAGAATTTCCATAGATTCCATTAAAATCGCTCTCCAAATTGACAATGGTTTGCCAAAGTTTTGCAACACTAGAAATTATCCTCGGCATGTGACTAAGTATGGTTTTCCTGGCGTTTTGATAGTGATCGGAATTTTGTTTAGACGTAAAATGCAAATCGCTACCAAGCGGAGAAAAAAACACGTTAAATAGATTGTTGATAATTTCTCCTGAATGCGTTGGATGAGCATTTTGATTCGTTGGAACATTTTGATTAACAGTCTGGGAAGAATCTAATAAGCAATAATGACAAAGAACTGTCAATGCCTCCAGCTGTGTCACAGCATAATCAGAACACAATTCATTATCTAATTCCAATTTGTTATAATTTGATGCAATTTGTTCAATATTATTACAAATCTGGTGAATAACACTTATCGATATCTGTTTTAGGTTGTCTCCAAAGTATGGCAGGCAAGATGTAACCAAATACAACCAATTTTCATGAAGATGTTTCATATTTTGTTGCCTCAACGCACTCATCACAGCTGAAAGGAAAATTTGTTGTTGAGGAATTAAAACCGTAGAATTGATATTTTCACCATTTACAGAATCTGACTGGGTCTTTTGTGAAAAAACTTTCGATTCCAGAATTATTAACGAATTTATTAGTCTCAAAATTTGTATTTGGTACGCTTCAACATGTTCTCCTACTTTATTATAATTATCACAGAGCTGGAAATTGTTATAAGCTAATATTTCTTCTGCAAAAGTCATTTCCTCGTCGAAGTTTCTTACAGAAATCAATAAACAATTTAGTAATATTTTCTGTAATTTACATTTCACTAATAAATCTGCTATATAACTGGGAAATCCTTTGGAATTTTCTTCTACCATTATAATCAATTTTTTCATAATAGTGTTTAAAATATCTAAGCTCTCTAATTGAATCTTTAAATTATTATTCATTTCATCTGTTAGTAAGCTTGAATCGTCGAGGAAGGGAAAGAAAGTTCTCGAATAATTAAGGCAGATAGAGATAATTACGTCTAGAAACATATACCCTCTATAGAAATTAGTATGTTCAGTATGTAACTCTCCAGAAAATCCGTAACCTAGTAAAGATTTTCTATGTCGGGCTAGAAGATTCAATATTTCACTATTTTTGAGATCTTTAATTCCACTAGTAGCCAAACATTTTATAAACAACTGCTGATTGGAATTTATGCAATTTTTCAACGTATGCAATGCGTAAATAATCTGATTTGAATCAAAAACTTCGTAGTACAAACACAAGTGTGAATGTATTGGATACAAAACTAAGTTTTTTGGTGTTTGATGGTTTGCTTTCGATCTTAAATCCAATTCTGTAGGTCTCATTGGAGTTCCATCAATATCATCATCTATAACCTCAGCACAAACTCTGTCTATTATATTATTCAATATTTCACTAACAATAATTTTTTCTTCGTTTTTTCTAAAGAAATCTTCAGCACTTTTACTAATCTCTAACTCGTGGTTAGCATGAAGATTATCGGAATCTGATATACAATACGACCAGCTCTGCACTAGAGAGTTTTCGATATCACTGGTTTTGGCGATGTTAATTTGATCATCAAAACTGTGGGATTTTGGAATTTTAGAAAAATTTAAATTATCATTAACAGCTTCGACTATGATTCCATCAGAAATTGGTTCAATACTGTCTAATAATAGTTTAGCTCTATATTCTTTCTCAGTTGATAGCTCCAAACTACTTTTATTCTTTAAACTATCAAAACCGGAATCCTTTTCACCATTAATTCTATCTGGAGTTAAACTTTTACCAAAAGAATCTTCACTGCTAGTATGAGTTAGATCGTTACTTGAAAAACTATCTAAAGAACTAGTACTTTTTTTTGTATAAGAACCATCTAATCCCATTGGATAAACTTCTTTAGAACTTAAAGGATTAATAATAAGTTTAACATTTTTAGGTGCTTTTTCCGATTTGGGAGAAGCAGTCACTCCTTTAAAATCTCTATTTTTCTTAGTAACAACATTAGAATCTTCGTTAATACTAGTGGTCATGTTAATAACTGAAGAAGAGTATCGTTTGTCCGTTTTAGAAAAAGTAAACCACCGTTTTTTAGAAGGTTTCGGACTGGGGCTATCCGTTACATGATACATAATGTTCCCGTTGACATTGCTGACTGCATAAATTTTTTTCGATTGAATATTTTCCATTCTGTTGTGATCTTGTGTTGTTATGTCACTTTGAGAATCGGAATCTTGGATGTTGACATGACGTATTGAAACCCTTGCGGTATTTGAAGCTAACAGTTTTAGTAGTATAGGGTTGATTATTCTAGAAATGTCATTGTGTAACAGACCGTGTGTTAAAAAGGAATCGGAAAGTAACTGAAGGTTTGGTGCTTCTTTGTTTTGAAGATTATCCAAGATTTTTAAAAGCGACCTAAAACAATACATAGTTAAATAAGAAAAATATTTCAAATGATAAATAAATATCATACATCAAAAACGAATCGAACCTTGACACTTTTAAATAAAGTATTTTTAAGAGTAGTTAAAAATTATTTAATAATGTACCTGTCGAAATTTCTTGTATTTGGTTTGTTTGGTGAAGTTTTAATGGACAAATCTCTGCCCAAATGCCATAGCAAAAAGAACTGCTTGACATATTGAACGTTTATATTTTCCTGAGTAAGAAAATTATTGATGACGTTTTCTACGAAGGAAGTGTTGTCAAAAGTATTGTGTATTTGATAGAGTAATGTCACACACAACATTAGTTGAATTTGATTATTCAAAATTCCCAACAGTTTCCACAAAATTTGGCTCATTTCCTAAAATACAATATGGATAAGTGAGAAGAAAAAATATTATGTAAATGTAACTAATGCAATTTTTAAACGGTAAAAATGTTACCAGGATTAGGTGAACTTTATTGTTAAGTTTAATTTATTTTTTTTAGCACCAAGTTAAAAAATAAAATTAATTTATAGATCATATTTTATATGGACAAAAAGTGGTGGTTATTATGGTTACTAGTAACAAAATATAATATTGTTGAAGTTTGTATTCATAAAAAAAACGTATGAGTAGGTGTTAGAATGCTATAAGAGTAGTCTAATAGTATTCAGTATTCTAATATATATATACTGGTTTGTACACTTTTTTTATGAATACATAGCTGCAGTATGAAGATATTGTTCTACATAGGGTGATCAATCTGCATTATACAAATATTTTGAATATTTTAACATACGGTACATTATTTTTTTATTTTTGTTAACTTATTAAAGTATGTATTAAATGTATTTCTAAAAAGGTCATCCGAATTTATTTCTATATTTCATAAAATACATAATTGGTATCAAAATAAGATCCGCACAACACTAACCTCTATAACGGTGGTACTTTCTTCAATAAATTTAACAAGTTTAATACTTAAAATTCCTGTTATAACAATATTAGTATTGCAATCCATCTTTCTGGTAGTCAAAGAATTATTCGCAAGACTAAATATTTCCAACAATGTATTCATGGCAGTTAACTGATTATCTCTTGAAGATTCATTACAACAGGCTACAACTATAAGTGATTGTATCCATTCTGGTAGCAATTCGTCATCAAATTCTCGATCTAAAAACCCAAAAATTACATTTGTACAAAAGTAGTAAATATCTGATATCCAGCAAATTATTTTTCTGTAAATTTATCAAATATATTAAATACAGTCCATCTAATCAGTGTTTAGAATATGAATTAGAGATAAAAATGATTCAACACATTTTGTCATACTTTCATTGCCAATGAAAATACTGAAAAATTTTACAAATTACAACTTTTATTGAAAGAATTATTTTCTATAATCATAAATAACAGAAATATACCATAAGCTAGAAAAATAGCCCCCTATAAATTGCATTTTCAGTCGTTTGCTGAAATTACGAATATGATGATCCAGAAACTCTATTATGGTTTAGGTCAAAATACACTGTAAAATATATATATATATATATATATATATTTTATTTTTTTCAGGAAATAAGTATTTTATCCAAAAACGTTTTAAACAAAAGTTGTTCAGTTATTACCAATAAAAAAGGCCTTGTTACTTTTTAAGTTAAAACTTACTATAACGGTCCTACTGAGGGTTATTTTAACTTAGAGAGAGGGAGGAAATACTACATTATTTCCTTTATAACTCTGTTTTGGTGTAATACATATTAATATTTAATAAAATGTATTTTATTTATTTATATTTTAATTGTTAATATTTTTACTTGGATTTGGTGTATAAATAGCCTATTTATATTCATCGTGCCTAATTTTTACCCTCGCCTTACCGAAACTGGGTTAGTTATGATCCGAAATTTAAATTTTCAGGATCATTTCTTGATTTCGTAACTTTTTTTTTCAGTGATCTTTCATGATAAGAATAAGGCCTCTGGTATACATTTTTCGACAAAATAAAATTTCTCGGAAAATGACTGGACATCACCGATGCCCCATGGTACAAAAAAATTACAGATTTATGATACTCAGCCGACGAAATCTCGTCGAGTTCGCGCATGAAGTATTGTGGTGTGGAATATGGCAATGAGTAGATGTAAATATATTTTCTCGCGCTGTTTTCGATCAGCCGATGCCTCAAATTCGTAAAAGCCGCGCCTTCCCATCACAATACGTAACCGTGACGTAGTATCAATCGACTTGATATTATATCTTCTTTTTATAGTTTCATGCCGATGATCCAGTTTTGTAATAATTAAAAAAGCAGTATTTATTCATATTACATTCCAAACAAAATGGTTGCCTAGTGAAAAAACACACAAACCCCAATTTTATCTTGAGTTTAGTATTTTGTGATTGAGTTGATAAGTACTTGAATGTAATATTATTTATTTATTTATCAACGAGCAATTGCCCAATTAAAAAACAAAATAAAAGTTTAATAAGAGGGAAAATTTAAAACCTAACCTACACCTAGAGAAATGTTGAAAGCAAGAAACGAAAATTACCATAAAATTAACATAAACAAGAAAAAATGAAATATTAAAAAACCAGCTAACATTTCTAAATAAGTTAAATTAAATTATCTAGACACATTAAAATATCACATACATTATTTAAGCTGGGATTTAAAGATTTTTTTATTATCAAAGCAGTCCAACCTATCAGTTATAGACAAAAACGTACCTATTTATTGAAAAACTTGATATACCTATAAAATATTGTAGAAAGAGTTAAACCGAAAACAAGTTTGTTCGTATTCTAATTATAGCTCTTTTTAACTAATTAAATTGCGTTCTATGCCTACTTGAATGTAAAAATAATTCTACTAACACCGACTTGAATGAATGATTCAGAAAACATATTCTAATTCATATGTGGGCAACCCCAGGCCGACGGGCCGGATCCGGCCCTCCACCAGCTTTAATCCGGTCCACGAGATTCAGAAAATAGAAATATTGCGCAAAAATTATAGTTTATAGTAATTTTATCAAGCGTACGCAGTGGCACGCCACGGTGTTCATAAACTCATAATGACTAAAATCGATAAATATTATTAAGCGTACGCAGTGGAACGACACAGATCGTGTCAGAAATAGTCGTTAGAAAGAAACATAAACATTCGCCGTACGATACGCTTGAAGCGCTCGCCTACGATCGAAAGTTTTCTAGTTGCTTATTGGGGGCAATATATAAACCGCTCAGCGAGTGTCACCTAATTACTTATTAACAACTGATAAAGTTCGAATCGCATATTCACGTACGATCGAGAGTACGAAGCGGAAAATATTCCAAGCAAAAAAGCGGAACGTGTACACAGAATGTCGTAATTTCCAAGACAAATGGACCGATGAATACTTTTTTATAGTGCACAGTGCACCTATGTGTTTGTTGTGCAATGGAACACTTTCTGTTTTAAAAGAATACAATATGAAGCGGCATTACTCCAGCAAGCATTTCGCTCAATATAATTCTCTCGTAGGCCAGTTAAGAAAGGATAAAATAAAAAAACTCATTACCGATTTAGGGAAACAGCAACAAATATTTCATTCAAAGTTCAAATCTAGACAGTGTTTTAAGGCTAGTTTTATAATTAGTTCCAAAATAGCGAAAACAAGTCATTTTCTGAGGGACAGTTTGTTAAAGAGTGACTAGTAGACGTTGCAGAACTTTTGTGGCCAGAAAAGAAGAAAGAGTTTGAGAAAGTGAAAAGTGAGCTTATCGCGACGTACTGCTGTTCGGGCCAGGGAGAAACGACTCTACTCCAAAACTAAAATTATCAAATTTTTCTTCCCACTGTAATCCTAGAACTTTAGAAATTGATTTATCAAATTCTTTAGCCTTTACTAATTGTAAAGACTCAGGTATTTTAGACAAAAGAACATGGGAATTTGACATCCATTTGACTATTTTAAAACCGCCTTTTTGAGACAAACTAACTAACTGGGAATGTGCAGACAGCTTCTTGCACATTGGGAAAACTACTAATAAGATCATCCATATTCGCTCCGTGGCGAAGTCATGGAAAGGGAAGCAAAAGCGATACTAGCGCTAGCTGCGGATAATTCGTGCATTTTAGGGGGATATTTTGTAACTTTGGCATATCAAATACACGTATACATTTTACTTTTTTTCAAAAAAGTAGGTAAAAACAACACAATAAGCAACCGGAGTTGCTGTGTTGAAAATTGTACAAATACTAGCAAAAAAAAACAGTGAAACTTATATAACAAATTTCACTAACAAAGTGGAAATTAAATCAAAGAAATAAATGGATAGGTGTACAATAAGAAGAAAAATTACCTTTATTTTTGTGATAATAACAGTAATGCTGGAAATAGTAGACATCAGAAACTAGAAAGTTTTTAAATAAACAATGAATTATCATTTTACGATGTTCTTTAATATCCCTTTATTCTTAAATGTTCATTCGGCAAGGACTAGATTTCAAGATTTCTGCCGTTGATTATAATATTTGGCTGGTATGCAATTTTGTGACTTACTGATCGGAAACCAGTTTTAATCATTCATTCTATGTTTTCTTTAGAACAAAAATGAAAATATAAGTAGCGATCCTTTTTATACATTTTAACTTCACGCTATTATAAATGGTTTCTTCAATGACAACTTATTAGACTTAGGCAACTTCTCATACATTTTCCAGTAAATACTGTTGCCTGCCTATATTTTATTATTGATTTTTAATGATTATACATAATTTTCTTCAATTTAAGCGTGAAAAATATATAATAATAATAATAATAATAAATTAATGTTTTAATTGTTTTATAAATCCATATACTTTTATTAAAACTAACATATATACTTTTTATTTACGAATTCTATTAAAAATTGTATTTGTCAGTATAGGCAGAAATACTCCTTTAATACCAAAACAAATTGGCGCTGCTGTCGCGCACAGAGCGAATACATATCACCGGAAAATATTTAGATTCATCTTCACATAATTATTTTATTACTCGAAGACTTAGGAATGGCGACGATTTCACTCCAAAACTCAAAAAATGTAATTGGAATACAGAAATAGGATCATTGGAGTTAAATCTCCAAAGAACTCTTTGAAATGACCTATGAGGCTCTATCATCTTAACCTGTCTATACATTTGTTTTAAGTCGGCTACTATGGTAATTGGAAAAATACGAAAATTCAACAATATGGTTATCGGATTATTTTGTAATTTTGGACCTTTATACAAAATGTCATTTAAAGAAGGACCTGCATTTGTCTTCATGGATGCATCAAACACTATTCGACAAGGGGTACTGGAACTATCGGGTTTAAATACACAATTGTGTGGGATATAGTATGACGGTGCATCTATAGATTTAATATGTCCCTGTTCTACATAGTCTTGAAAAATATTATAAATTTTTTTAAGATCTGGATTTTTATCGAGACGATTTTCTAAGGATAATAATCGATTTTTTGCTAATGCGAATGAATCTCCTAATAACGTCGGATCATCTTTAAATGGCAATGATACTACATATCTACCATCAGGATCTCTTCTGAAATTTTCTAAGAAAAATTTTTCACGTATTTCATCTTCTGACGAGAGAGGAGGACAAATCCTCCAATTCCCACATTATTTCTACAAAGGAATCTAATTGGAGAAAATTACTAAAAAAATTAACGATAAGTGTGGACATAATTGGAAGTAGGTTGAGCTGAACCCATGACAACATAACTTAAAGTAGTTTCAAAAGCAAAACTGCACTGTCGGGTGAAGTTGTCCTGTTGAAGCCTATACTATTAGAGAAAATTGATACTCCTAATATTCCATCTATTTTACCAGGATAATCAAAATTGGGGTCTCAGCTAACATCAAATGTTCTACGTTAGGCAAGGAGGTTTTATCAATAGGATGATCAGGTAAAGCATTTGCCACCATCTCTACTAGCAAAACTTCTATGGGATAACTTATTTCAGATTCAAAATGTTCAAAATGTGGAAATTTGACCAAATGGGCTTTTCTTAGAATAGGAGTTTCTGAACCGCCTACTCTTGAGACGTTCAACTTCAATTTGGAATATGACAAACCTAATTTTCTGACACATTCACGGGTTATTAAATTTGCAGAAGAACCACTATCTAATAAAAATCTAATTTTTTGTGCCTGGCCCCAATTATCTACAACATTAACAACTATTGTTCCAAAGAGACTAACAGAAAATACTTTCGAGGGGTGTAAACTCTTACTATTTGGATAAAATACATGCAGAATCGGTTGCGTATTTTCTAACGAACTCGAGGACGATCTTTGGCTAGAACTAGGGATAATTATTTGGCTAGCACTCTGAGAGTTAACATTATCCGGTGCTTCGTAATTGGGCTTATGCAACAAAGTATGATGTTTAGATTTACATTTTAAACAACAAAATTTGGATGGACAATTCAAGACAATTTGGATGAAAAACAGTTAAGACATAATTGTTTCTCTTTTATCAATTTAAAACGAGATTCAAATGAAAGAGTTAAAAAATATTTACAATCTTTAATTAATTAATGTCCTTTATTACACACAATACAAGAAGAGGAAACATGGTTCATTCTTTTCATGAAAATGAATTGATTTTGCAGGTTTGGATACACTAAAATTATTTGTTTTGACATATCTAACCTTTTCATTTTTGTTAAATAATTTATTTCGATGGCGTAAAAACTTTAAAATATCCTTATAAGAAAGCAATTCATCGTTATCCCTAATCAAATCAAAATCATTAATGATATCTTGAGGCAATTTTGACATAGCCAAATAAGTTAAAATGTGATCTTTTAAATTGTCAAGTTTTAATCGTTTAATTGCAGAAATATTGGTATTAAACCTTTCTAAGAAAAATTCTAAATTTGATGCAATAATTGTCGATGAACAACGGAAATTCAAAAGTCTATCCATATACAAATTAAACAAATATTTTTTATCGTTATATCTATCATTTAACAATTTCCAAATAATATCATAATTATCTGGGACCGATTCTATTGAACTACAAGTTTTCAATGCCTTTCCTGACAGGGAGCCTAATAAATATTGTAATTTATCAGCTTTTGAAAATTCTGTTTTACTATGTACGAACTGCTTGAAATTTTCTTAAAAAATATGCTATAAGGATAAATATTCTCCATCATATTTAACGAGTTCAATTTTAGGCATTTTTATATGTGTATCGCCACTACTATTATTTTGAAATTGCGAATGACCTACAGGTTTTTTCAACAATATTGCCGCTAAATATTCAATAATAGAATAAATTTCATGAAACGCATCTGATATATTAAAATAATCCACTTCGGCCTCAGGATTCATTTCTTGTTTCAAAATAACAATTTCTTGCACAATTTGATGAACTTAAAGGAACAATATTAGGAAAGGAAAAAAGGAATATACATCGGTAATTTCACTTAACATTAAAAAATCAGAACCGGCGTACAAAATGGTTGGATTAAAATCTTTTTCTAATTAACTATCGGTGATAAGTAACGAAATACGACTAATCATTAATACGCAGAAATAATTTGCGCATGCCAAAATTAACGTTATACCTATTTGAAATAAAATGTACCTGCCATATAGGCAACAAAAAATAATATATAATAATATAGCGTTTACTGCAGAAATGAGACAATTTACTTAGAAATCAGGTTTTAGTTGGTAGACTAATTAGAAAAGGTGATGTACTTACCTAATAAATTAGGAAATGCCGAAAATTCCAAAAGAATATTGGATGCTATTCTCATAGATGTTTCAAAGTCATTCTCGTTCTTCTTCGCACCGATATTCGAGAGACATAACATTTTATTTTTTGTAATGAAATTATTCGCTTCCAGAGGGCAAAATTCGTGTTTTTCATCACTTAAACGAGCATCCAATAGTCTAACTAACCGATTAGTTCTGCTGTTTTTATCGCAAGTCAAGCTATCCATAACTGATTTTATATTCGTATTAGGAAGAAGCTTGATTTTAATAAACTGGGCATAAAAATTCTTATACTCCTCAAGACATTTGATGAAATACTTGTTCTCCACTGTGGCTAGCTTAGAAGACGCTTCCGACGTTTCAGTAGCCACTAAAGATTTCTTATCAGGTACTGGCGTAGCGTTTTCTGAGCTCATAGAATCATCAGCCTCGTTCATAGGATCGCTGAGTTTAGGAGTAGATTTTGATTTCTTATTTTTTGGTTTCTTTTCGATTCTAGGGCTCGTTTTTTCTTTTTTCTTTAACATTTGATTACTATATGATCGTTCACGGTTATCTCCTACTGTCAGTTCGTTTTTGCTGGAATTGTTGAGGTTTTCGTTAATTTTAGAGTCAGATTTACTTTTTTCCAACGTCTTCAGTTCACCGTTTTCTGGCTTATCTTCAGAGAGAGAGTTTTCCAAAGTTTTTTCTAAACTGTCATTAAGTGTCGAGTCTAAACTAGTATTTGGTGTTGTATTATTTTGAACTATACTTGGTTGAATTTTGCTAATAATTTTTGTGCAAAGCTGCAAACTTTCCGATATCTCGCTTTGATTCAGATCTGTTAAATTAGACTTTAACATAGAGACTAGTTTCCAAAATAAATTTGGTAGTATATTATTAATGTTTTCTGTATAAGATTCTATTGGAATTATGTCGAGTAAAAAATCTGTTAATATGCAAATTTCTAATATATGCGGAGGCCCGCTGCCTATTTCGCTAACTTGATTTCTATCTCTGTATTTATAAGTTTTAACGCTTCTTACAGCTTCAACGAATAATTTTTCTATGTAAGCCCAAATGTAGTGCCTTTGTAATGTGTTAAATAAGAGATTAGCGTTTTTAATCAACTCTGGGCAATTTTTCATAACGAACTGTTTACTCAATATATTATCATCATTTTTTAAACTAGTTAAATCTCCAGTAAAAGAAACGCATCTAGCCACGTTACTTTTATTCTTTTGTTGGTGAAAACAAGATAGGTAAAGCGTTCTAAAAACATCGTATAAGATGCTGTCAAGAATGACAGGTCCTATTTGTGGTTTATCGAAAAGAGATATTAGTAGCCTGTACGGTTTTATATCTATAGGTGTTTCTGCGCTACATTTTTTTAATATTATTTTTAAGGCGTCATTTAAAAGGTCATACGCTAGTGAATGATGTTCATGTGCAGTGGTTTCTTCTAATTCGTCATCTAATTGAACTGTGGGTAAGTTTACTTCAGTACCAAGCAACCAGGAATATAGGCGCCTAAAACAGATTTAAAATCAGTTTAATAATTTAACTGCTAAGACTGTATGTGCTTTTTTTTAACAAAATTACTTTTTTTAACAATACACGTTTTAAATATATTTCCGTTTATTGTACTTTTTAAATCAGAGATGGCTATGAAAGTCAAACATCGCTCACTCTCTATAGTAAATAATAAAGATTGAGATGCAGCGGTCATTTTGACTAACGTGGCGAGCACAAAGCTGAAAATTTGTAGATGTATAATTGAACACCAGTTGAATAAGGAAATAATGATCTGACAAGAATACCGCGGTTGCAACATCTACATTTAAACTTTTGAAAGTATCAAGTTTTTACAAGGCTAAAATATTTCAACATACCATTTTTGTTTAAAAGTTTGAAGTAAGAACTTTATTATAACTGATTCAACTATTCTATAACGTCATGACGTACTTCCAGTTTTTCGGAAGATACAGTAAATCGCATTTTATTTTCTATATTTAAGTTAGTTCACTCGAGACACTCGTACATAAAAATATCGCCTAATGGTGAAAACCAAATGTTCGATATTCTTAATGCTATTTTTTTTTTTTGTAAGAGACTGTACATAACACATGTAAGTTTATATACAGGGATGTTATAATTTCAAATAAAATCCATCCGGCAACGTCGCAAATATATGAATGGTGGGCTATAGAAATTTGAAACTTCCTCATACTAATGTTAAGAGTTTGTTTTATTTCAAACAGAACCGCTGATTCCAGTTCTCAAATACAGTGGACGAATTAATTTTTCAATAACACGTCACGAAGGTATGACAACCTCTTAGCTGATCGAGTGTTATTCACTTACCATGCATTAAGTGTAGCGATTACAATGTTGCCAAGTTGTAATCATTTTACGCAACTACGCGTCGACTGCTTAAATCTATATCTTTTTACCAAGACGGTCAAAAAATACATTACATTAGTTTTTAAAAAATATAGTAGGAACCGTTTTGAAATAAATGCATTGCTTGTGTACATGACAGGCTTCAAGAGTGTTAATTATGCACATTTTGATTGTTAATATCTCATTTCACAGACGGTCAAAAAAAAAATTTTTTTTTTTAGTTATGTAAAAGACACTTTCATTAACTTTATCTATACAGATAGCATACAAGCACTACTCACCCTGAACAGACCACGAATTTACTCGGGGTTAGTACTAGAATATCACGAAGCTTTGGCCGACGTATCCACTAACAATGTGGTCACCTTAAGATGGATCGAAAGTCACGCCACATCGAAAGGTAACCGTCTTGCTGATTCACTGGCCAAGAAAGCAGCCAATCAAATACTTTTTGGACCTGGCCCTTCTATTGGCCTAACAAAATCGGTAGTGACAGACCTAATTAAAGAACGTTCCCTTGTGAAATTTAAGAAAAGATGGGATGAAACAAGAAACTGCAGAGTTGCCAGGGAGCTTTTAAGTTATCCTGATAACACTGCAGCAAACAAATATTTGACTATGACTAGACAGAATATGCGCTTGGTCACGGGCATTCTGACTGGTCATTGCCAAGTACGGAAGCATCTCCATACAAGAAGATGATACCATCGAGCATATCCTCTACGATTGCCCGATGCTCTCATTTATTAGAAGATTTGTATTCGGCAACACTGGCCGATATAAGAGAAGCACCTCGTGGCGACGTTGTCAACTACATTAAATCAGACTGGCTCACGAGCTAGGAGGTGCCTATCATCTTAGGAGGATGCACAATGGGCCTAGTGAGGCCTAAGTGCCATGGGGTAACCCACCCTCCACACGTTACAGATACAGATAACCTTATAATTCAATTTTATTGAATTCTTAAGAAAAGTCGTTTTACGAGTGAACTACCTTAAAAGAAAATCCCAATTTTTTAATAAAAATGTTTTGTCAGCTGTCAAAATAACCGCCATATCGTCCGTGAACCGGCAACTCCTCCTAACTCAATGTGGACTAATTGTACAGAAGTACGTTAAAAACTAAATTAAATGTAAATGTAATTGAAATTATTTTTTTATTTTGTAACTAAAAAAATAGTATTGATATTAACCATTTAACATGGCACTGTAGAAGTTTTAGTTATTTCCTAATATTTTAGACTGCAATGTAAGATAGTAACAAATGCCGTCAATATATGCTTCACTTTAGTTAAAAGGTATTGCCATTGGAACAAAATAGCATTTAATATTTTGTTTTGTCACTTAGAAGATTTTGCACAATGGTAGACAATAACTTTTTGCAACAAATGGCGAATAGAATTTATTTTCGGTATTGCTGGTTCACGGACGATATAGGATATTATTTCTAAATGTGTAATTACTCGTTTATGGATGAATATATGGGAATCCATTACCTTTAAAAACGCTTTGTAAACCGTGTTCTAATTGATACTAATCCAAATTACACCATATCTTAACATCTTATTGGTTAACTTCTTAAAAATTCCACCTGCTCTTATATTAGTCATTATTTGAGATATATAATTATTTTTTGTTTGAAAGCTTCGAACAAGAACGGGAAGTAAGTCATGACGTCACAGAATAATTGATTCCAACATCCTAGTCAATTCATGAAGCGTCGGCATGTTGTGTAAAATCATGAATCACAACTTGCCAAGGCTTTTCATGAAGAGACCGTAGCATTTCGGCAAATTGTTTGTAACTCAGACTCTTGAGCACTTCGCCTACGGCGTCATGCCCAAATTTCGTCTTCGTGCGATATGGCCATCATATCCACTCTTGTTGCACAAACTACTATTTTCTGCACCCACATGGATATTAGCTGTTCTACGCACAGACTACAAAACGAAAAAGTATGCAATTGTGTTCAACTGAAAAAATATATTTCATATCCATTCTACCTAGTAAGAACACATTCACAGTAGATATTTCGTTACCAGGATACTAATATTTTTTTAAATTTTAAAGTGACAATTCTGTCAAACTAATAATTGTCAGTATATTTTTGTAGTTATTAATGTATTTCATAAGATATTTATCTATATTTAGAGATAAATAATCAATTTTAATAAAAGAATATGAAATAAATTTAATTATGAGTATTAATACTAAAAAGTTAGGTGTGTCCAAAGAGCCATGTAAAAGGTCCTGGGTTCAAATTTAGGATAGAAGACTAATTAAGTAAATTTTTTTCCAAGTTTATTTTATTTTATACAATTGTAAGTCATATTACTTTGAAATTAGTTATTTTATCTTTATAACTTAAAATAATATTAAAATTTTTAGATTTTCGATAATGGGTCACTGGAAGGAACATGTTCATCTATACAGATAGCAGACAAGCACAAGCACCCTGAACAGACCACGAATGTACTCATGGTTAGTACTAGAATGTCCCAAAGCTTTGGCCGAAGTATCCATCAACAATGGTCACCTTAAGATGGATCAAAGGTCACACCACATCTAAATCTGCGCCTAGTCACTGGTCATTGCCAAGTACGGAAGTATCTCCATATCATGGGGTTGTCAGAATCCGTACTCTGCAGAGGGTGCGAACAAGAAGATGAGACCACCGAGCATATTCTTTACGATTGCTCGACGCTCTCACCGGCCGATATAAGAGAAGCACCTCTTGGTGACGTTATCAACTACATTAAATCTGTAGGCTGGCTCACGAGCTAGGAGGTGCCTATCATCTTAGGAGGATGCACAATGGGCCTAATGAGGCCTAAGTGCCGTGGGGTAACCCACTCTCCTCACGTTACAGATGGGTCGTAGAAAAAATATATTATACAGCTCGAGTGGATTGTTCTTATCAAACTCAGACATCTTCGTGCGATATGGTCATCATATCCACTCTTGTTGCACAAACTACTATTTTTCAAGTACCAGTAAAATACATTATATAATCTACTGAAAAATGTTTTTTTCACATTTTTTACAAAGCCCGTGCATTATATGATTAGAATACCTATTGTGGTAATGATGTTAAAATTGAATAAAACCACAGGATTATTATACCAAATGTATACGTACGAAAAAGCAGTACTGTATATAAATATTATTCAATATGTTAAAAAATTAAATACAAATACTCTAAGTATTTGTTTTCACCTTTGGGGTTCGGGGTTGATCTTGATAATTCGTAGGGAGATTTTTGAGATTTGTTTCCGAATTTTTAAATTATTCAGCCACTTATTTTAGATATTTCTGATTTTTCGGATTTCGATTTACGATTTCATGAAAAATTCACTATTTTCAATTCAAAAATAGTACAGTACACATCTTTTCTTTTACAACCTCTGATAGTAAGAAATTAAGAATATTTTTCTTGACAAGGAATGAAACTAAAAATACACGCTAATTAACTGTGAACGTTTGTTTTTTTAAGTGGCGAAAAATATAAAGTTTGATTTTCAAGTTTTAAATAATTTTTTGTCTAATGATCACAGCTAAAACAATATTATTAGAATAGTAGGTAGACTAATTATATGAAAATGACCTTGAAAGCTAACTGAAACCTAAATTATACTCTGATTTGGTTTTTAAGATCTAGTAGTTTATTAAAAAAAGAAATGACTGAATAACTGAATCATCCATTAGGTGCGGAAAAATTTACAATGTGATTTACCATTTAGGTGCAATGCAGTAGGTATATTTATCATTACATTTTATGCATTTGCTGATAATTCGAATAAATAATAACAGTTAAACTACTAAAGATAAGCGTTACGAGCAATTATGAAATATATAAAGGCATGAATCTATTATGATAATTTTTCACTAAACACTAAACCGTCAATGAAATTTATTTCATAATTAAATTTAATTTTTTTTATTAAATATTTGGAAAATTAAAACAAGAATTGGCTATTTATGTAACCAGTTACGAAATGTCTTATTTTGTGCAACGTCCGAATATTTGCTGGTCAAGCGGAGCAAGGTCCCGCAAAATGTACTAGTTACACAAAACGGGAAATCGTAACGTGTTACATATAAGATTTTTTTCTACTTTTGACTAAATTA